GAATCAAGTCCTGACCTCTTAACCCAGCATACAAAGCTTTTCATTATCTGGCCCCAGCCAACATATCCAGTCCAGTCTTATCTCTTATCATCCCCCTCACACACATAACACCCTGACCTCTCACATGAACTGTATGTACTGCCCACTCTTGGGTCTCTTGTGCCTTGTTTGGTTGGCTTCTGCACATGTCAGTCACTCTGCATGTGATGTCCTGCCTCCCATTGTCTGCGTGGTGGCCTGCCAGACTTGATTCTCATTTCATCTACTCTAGGATACCTCCCACGAATACCTTTCCTGACCCCATTTCCAGTAGAGGTAGGCCCTCTGCCTTTGAATTGTTCCCAGAGCACCTTTGTGCCATATTTCACACCATACCGCTGGGTTTGCTTGTGTCTCTCTCTCCTTACTGACTCTGGCCCATTTCATCTTATCCCCAGCACACAGTCCAGTGCTTAGTCAGTGTGTCTACTTAAGATTTTTTTGTTTTTCATATTTCTTTATTGGTTTCAAACAACTTGTAAATACAGAAAAATTGTCTAAAATGGTTATATTCCTTACTGGGCCCCCAAATGCATAATCCCAAGAACTATTTATCTAACAAAGAGATCGTGTTCTTACTAATTTCTGTTTCATTAAACTTAAAAATAGTTTTGGGTTTTCGTTATAGTTCTGTTATTTACATCATGGTCCCTGTTTACTTTCTTTTGTATTTGAAATGTACACAGAAGAAATGATGGTTGTGGGACATTGTTTCTGACTTAGGTAGGTATAGGTGCTCCATGCATAGATAATAAATAATTGAAAAATGTCTTACTTGGTATGTCAAGTTATTTGTTGAGTAGGGGGAGAATCATTGTTATAAAGCATCTAAATTATGAGAATGGGTGTTATTTCAGAATTTTAGATTAGTTTTGTATCTGGATTCTTACATCGGTATGTGTGGTGGTGTGTTTGTTGGTGAAGCATATGGAAACAGAATTGTTAATATTTCAGCAATTCTAGTTCATTCTTCCTTTTGTAGCAAAAATCATCAATCTGTTTATAAGATTTTTTTCCTGATTCATCATGATAGGGTTATATCTTGGGGAAGTCAGTACTGATTAATTTAGCCACATGATATATTTAGTCAAATCTAAATCCTATATAGTGGCCATCTCCCATACTCTCTCTTTTCTGGCCATCCCTCAGTGGGGGATGTCTTTAGGCCATGTAGAGTTCTCATCTACCAGGATTATTGCACCCTGCTTTACAGAGCTTCCCTCTACCTCCGAATCTCTAGCATTGTCTGTTTTGCTCAGTCTTCACACATCCAGTATTTACTGCTTCAACCCTTTATCACCTCAGTACTCTAAATTCGTACTCTTAAATTTGAGGCTCTGAGACCCTGGGCTTACTTCCTTGGTTCATGGCCTGACATCTTTCATGTTGCCTATTTTACCCTGGTTCACATTTCCTTATCTGCTTTGTACCCCTGTTTAATAGAGTTCATTTTCCAGCTATTTGCATTTCTCCTGTCCCTCCCTGTCCCTACCTTTCTTCAAGAAGCAAAATGCTTGAATTATTTTTTTCTTGTTCTTTTACACAACCCTGGTATTATTTTTATTTTCTTTCTTTACCGGTATTTTTTCCTGTTATTTAAACTATTCCTAAAATTCTTTCTCTTAGAAAAATCTATGTTTGATTGATACAGTAAAGCCTCTTTTCCTCTTATCCATTCCTAGACACCGGTAACCACCTTTGTCCCATAATGCTGCATGCTAACTCTTTATCCTCTCATTCCCAGGATGTACTTGCCACTGATGAGTTTAGATAGGCAGATGTATGGACTCTGGTTTTATGTTTTGTTAGTTATTTCTCTCTTGAAGCCCTTGGAAGCCAGGAACTACATCTGTTTAATTCTTTGTGCATTGCCTAATACAGCCCACCATCACCATTACCACACATACATGACTCATAACTGCTTTCTCATAATAGACAATGGTTTGATAAAGAAGAGTGGTGTATGTTGAACATTTGGCATCTGTATCGCATGCATTTTTTACTGATGCAGATGGAGGAGAAAAGAAATTCTTGGCTTTGGATTTTTTAAGCATTCCCTGTTTAAGGGAGAGCAGGTGGTAAAATTAATCTTATAAAAAGATAATTTAATGTTTTTCAAATTTGTTGTTTTGTCTCTGCAAAGTCTAGAAAAGCATATTGAAAATCAAATAGAGCTAAAACAGTACTTTGATACATCAATCCAAAGAACAGTTGATTGTAGTAAATTAGGATTTGTCATAGAAATTTCATAATACCCAATGGACTGAAATGCACAGAGGATGTGGCAAAAGCTGCAGTTTTAGATGTCTTTCTCATGCAAATCATTATCTATGAAGTCTTAATAATACAGGCTTAAACAGAAATTGCTAGAGTGGTGTGTCCAGAATAAAATCTGGTACTTTAACAACAAAAAACATTGGCTGTTTATAATGCATATTAACATCATAACTGCTGTTCTACGAATTCCTTAAGGAAAATACTGAGGATTTAACTCATAATTGGGAACACTTACTGGGAAATGAACTTAAAGCAAGAAAATCTGTTTAGAACTGGAAATTATGTTAAGAGGGAGAAACAGGTTAATATCTCTTGGCTCAGTATCAGATTCTCCTAAAATTAAGTGAAAAACGTTTAAGCAACTTGATGTGAGGTTGAGGTTTAGTTTAGGTATAGGAGTTCCGGTTTTCAGCGTTTGTTCTTCTTTTTTTAAACAATTTTCCAGAAACACTTTTTCCTTTTGAATTAAGTGCCCTTATTTAACATAAATAATTTTAAACCAAGAAGTGTTCAAATGTGACTTTAAACTACATTTTATTGTCTTATTTCCATTTCGCACTTAATTAAAAGTATATGGTACTTTTAAGATCATAACTGCCTTCCTTCCTTCTGTCCTTCCTTCCTTCCTTCCTGTCTGTACTCCTAAGCAGGAAATTAGGGTTTGGGGAAGCACCTTAGGAATTTTTAAAGGAACATACTGCTTTTATTAAGTTACATGCTTCATTGGCACCATTAGTTGGATATATGACTTGAGGTGTTGTTTGTTTTTTTTTTTTTCCCCCCCAAATAGAATCTGTTTCAAAAATTATGAACATGAGGATAGAGGGTGGTAGATTTGCCAAGGGTGTTTGTTGAGGGATGTTAATAGGCATACATGGAAAAAAAGGAAGAGAGCCTTGTGACAGTTTTGGAAGGATACTTTATAGCCCTCATCGTGGTACTTCAGTATTTACCTAGTATATTAAAGGGGCTGAGGAGTGGCTGCAATAAGTAAATTGTTTAATTTTGTGTAACCAAGTTTTTTTCAAACATTTGACCACAGAATGCCTTTTACACAGAATACCTATTAACAGTCCTTGAAACAAGTGTTCCTAGAGCAGAATTTGGAAAGTGTTGTACTAACCAACAAAACCCCTAGGTCAAAATTAATACCCTTTACAAAATTCTTATTTACAACAAGGGAATAAGTTGAATATTGGGAATATTTGTTCCAACACCTGGATTTCACATGAACCAGTCATTGTGAGTGCCACTAGATCTGGAATATCCTGTGTATTATAGACCTCCATTTAGAAATCTGTGGTGGATGGGCGCCTGGGTGGCTCAGTTGGCTGTTTGTAGGTCATGATCTCAGGATCCTGGGATCAAGCCCGCATCAGGCTCCCTACTGCAGGGAGCCTGCTTCTCCTTCTCCCCTGCCCCTGCTCATGCTGTCTCTCACTATCCCTCTCAAATAAATAAGTAAAATCTTTAAAAAAGAAAGAAAGAAAGAAAGAAAGAACTCCATTATGAAAAGGGTACAAAGATGAAGGAATGTGTCTGGAAACTTAGTCACTCTGCTGATACCTATGATGTTTTTTTATGATGTAGTTTATTTTTCATATGTTCTTAGGGATATTTTGAAAAATACACAAAAAGAACAGTACAATGAACATTTTTCCAGTTATTTAAAATAATGGTTAAGATATTTCAAACACTAGATGAAGTTCCATTAAAAAGATTTTAAATGGACCACCCATTATAATTCCTTAAATGGTATTGATTCATATAATGGGATTTTCCCCCCAAAGTATTGAGATATTTATGAAGTGCTGATTCAGCAGCAGCAGACCAGATAACAAAATGACAAAAATATTCTCACAGCTAAACTTCATAATAATCCAAACTATCTTGCTCTTCATGTTTTGCCAACTTCTCCCCCTCTAACCCCCGGGACAAAAGATAGTATTGATATTGGGTAAAACAGCAATACTGGTCTCATCTGGGGTTTGGTTTTTTTGTTGTCTTTTTTGTTTTTGTTTTTCTTTTTTTCTCCTTTCATCAGGCAATATTGTGTATTCTGTATTGATAGGTAAACTGATACCTCTGGAAAAAAAGGCAAGCTTTAAGAGAAGTTTCTGTTGTTTCTCTGTCTGCTCTCTATGTCAGCTTCATCTTAAAACTGACTCCCTGATTGGCTGAAACCAGGGTTTGGGGGAGGGTGGGATTATGTTGATTGGTTTAGGTCTGTGATACGCTGATACTGTGGGATAAGCATCAGTCAGTGGTACCATAACTCCATGGCCTGGAACCTTTGGTCTTGTTAAGAAAAGGCATGTAGGAGGGGCGCCTGGATGCTCTGTGGGTTAAAGCCTCTGCCTTCGGCTCAGGTCATGATCCCAGGGTTCTGGGATCGAGCCCCGAATTGGGCTCTCTGCTCAACAGGGAGCCTGCTTCCCTTCCTCTCTGCCTGCCTCTCTGCCTACTTGTGATCTGTCTGCCAAATAAATAAATAAAATCTTTAAAAAAAACAAAAAAGGCATGTAGGAAATGGAGAAACAACCAGTAGTGTCCTTTCTACTCCAAATAAGTTTTGAAAATTCTACAGCATGCTATACTACATATTTTTAATGTCTGATGAGATGTTTAGCTATTTCTGTTTTGCAAATGTATTAACAGTTCTTTTTTGGGGGGGGTCTTTTTAGAGGACAAGAATTTTGGGCAGATTTGAATGCCATGAATGTGTATGAAACAACTGAATTTGACCAACTACGAAGGCTGTCCACACCACCCTCTAGCAATGTAAACTCTATTTACCACACAGTCTGGAAGTTCTTCTGTAGGGACCACTTTGGATGGAGAGAGTATCCTGAGGTATTTACAGGTTCTTTCCCCAAAATTCTTGTCTTTCACTGTCCTTTCCTTCTAATCCTTTACAACAGTGACTAAACAGAACAACAAATATAAGAGCTTACTGATATAAAATGGAGTCTTATTGATACAATTAACATTATTCTCAATTTTTCTGAGGATGTATTTCTTTTCATTGATCTGGAATCCATAAATACCACTGTTATCAGAGAGGTAAAATGCTTTCCCCAGTATCATAATACTGTAGAGACCAAGTATTTACATGGTAAGTATTCAGACTTAGTGCTCCTTTGGAATAATTTTAATGAGATGAGCACTAATGTGTTTCTAGCTGTTTCTGGCTCCTGGGCTCATGTTCATTGAATCACGTGTTACACTTAGCATTTCGGAAGTCTAATGGGAAACAAGCACTCTTAAGCCCCTGGAAGAAATACTTGAAAATGTTTATTGAGCTGTGGTCAGGCAAATCAGTCATTTAAAATTGTGTCATATGTGTACATGGATCCTTAGTGTGAGATGGTAAGAATATCTTCTAAATCAAATCACAAAGTAAGGTTTTAAAATGATGATGGCTTTATTTTGCCTCTTAATGAGAATTCAGAGTCAAATTTTAAAACAATGAAATGGACTTTAGAGATTAATTTCACATTCCAAAGATCTAACTTCTTTGATTTGATTAAATTCATTTCCAGCATTACAATAAGGGATAACTGACTTCTTTACCCTTTGGTTTTCTTTTAAGGCAATAGCAAAAGAAAAATACCTAGTATAATATTAATTGGTTAATAATACATAATGGAATTAAGATTTCTGAGACTCTTTTAAGTAATCACTAGTATCTAATACCTTCCAAGGAGAATAAGAGACTATTTAAAATGTATTCTCAGAATACATGTCCCTGTGTTTTTCCTCTGAAAGATTTCTTGGATTTGGAACTTAACTAGTTTCTGTGAACTGTATACACTACTATCTTTAATCCTCTTCTGAAAATTCCCTTAAGAAATATAAACAAATTTCTAGGACATTGTTAAGGCCTCAAAATAGAGCAGAGTTGATCCCTGGGCCTCACATGTTTCATAATAGAAATCCATGCTCTTCTGAAGAAGGAGCATCTTTCTATTCTGTTTCTTTCCCCTCTTCCCCCTCTCCAAAAATCCTGTGTGTAAAGGGAATTAATTTGACTCTCTGCACTTTATTGAAGCTTTTCTGATGTTAACATCAAGGTTAACTATTTTTGCCTTTAGTTAGAGTAACATTTTTCATATTTCCTAGTGATTGTTTTTTTCTAACTTCTTTTTCCTTTACCTTCTATTTTCTACTCCAGTCTGTTATTCGATTGATTGAAGAAGCCAACTCTCGAGGTCTGAAAGAGGTCCGATTTATGATGTGGAACAACCACTACATTCTTCACAACTCATTCTTCAGGAGAGAAATAAAAAGGAGACCCCTCTTCCGCTCCTGTTTTACACTGCTTCCGTATTTACAGTAAGTGTCAGTGGAAAGCCTTATCTTCACTCTCATTTTATGTAAATATACAACTGAATGACAAAGAGTAAAAGATTTTAAATTAAGAGACTGACTTGGTTATTACTTCTAGAATGTGAAATTTTGAGTCATTCTATGGGTTTAATTCTTCAAAGAGTAGAGTTCAGATAAGCTACAATTAACCTAACTAAAAGAGTGATTATCCAGTTGATTTTTTTGAACTGAAAAGCAAAGAGAAGTAACATTTTTGTACAACAAAAAGTAATTATATCTGGTCTAAGGCAGTTTGCATTTGCTTCCTTTGTGAAAGATGGAGTTTCCTGATGATAACCATCCATGTAATGGGGCTGCTTGCCAGTACAGGTAAACTGCAAGGTCAAGCAGGGAGAGCCCTTCAAGGTGGCGTTCTCCAGTTCTTCTTCCTTGAGTGAATTTTCATAGGAAAGATTCTTTTCAAAGAATCTGCATTCTCATTGATATGTAAGGTCCACCTTCCTGTAATACTCCCTAAAATTACCTGTCATACTTCTAGGTTGAAACTGAATTCAACCTTCTGAATTGTAGGTGAGCTCTTCCATTTTCTCAAGTCCTCTTCCCCACCCCTAGATAGCCCACCGGTACATCTCCATAGATGCCAAAAAGGTGGAGCCTGTTACCAGTAGCATGGCCATCTTTGAAAAAAAGTAACTCTAGGGAAATCTTTGTGTACTCTCATCAGATATACCATATTTAGAGGCTTCTTTTTAGAATAATGCTAGATTTACTTGGTTTTATGGACTGGGGAGGTCTAGAGTAATACTGGTTTTTCTCTTCTACTTATCTTAGAGATGCTGTTTTTATATTCTTACTAGTTTGTTTGTTTGTTTTTTTTCCCCAGTCTCAAACTGTGCTTTTCCCAGATCATTATAACAGAATTTTAATGATTCTAATTATGAGATTGCAGAGGGAACATTAAAAACAAAATACAAATCAATAAAAATCCCTGAAATGCTCAGTATCCAAAAGCAATTTTTAGTAAGGCTGGTTTAGAAATATATGCTGGCTTTGGGTAAATGTGTGCTTTCTTCCTAGTCCAAATGTGAAAAATTTTACCTTGTAGGGTTTTTTTTTTATTAGAAACTAATAAAAATGCCATTTCTGTGATTTCACTAGCACAGCTGGAGATAGTGTCCGCGTCCAGTAGTTAGGAACATATTGTCCTCCTAGTGAGATGGTAGAACTCATTAGTGAGACCAGCAGCTTGGCATGCTGAGCCAATCAAGCAAGATGTAGCTTCTGAGTGAGAGTAAGAATGCTCATTCAAGTGCTGCATTGATGGGGGAGTTTTACAGAATGGTGAACATTGATTTGTTTCAACCCTAAGACAAGTAATTATGAAATAATCCCTCCCCCTCTTTTTAAATTTAGGCTTATTTTGTAAAAGTACGAACTATGAAAAGACTATAAGCAGTAGTAGAATTAATGCCACAAATTTGGCACCTTACTATTTGTAACATAGGTTTATAAGAGAACAAAGAAAGTCAGTCTGTTATTTCTTCCTTTTTCTTTCTAAAATCTCCTGTTTAGTCTTTTTGTCTAAAACAGCGATAATCAGGTATAAAGTAAGAGCTTAGCAAATCAAAGAGATTACGCAGACACTTCAATGAGAAGAGAGCAGAGAAGCAAGCAGCAAGTTCACCAGGGTGGAATGGGTAAATGCAGCCCTTCAGTTCCTATCTGCCCTAGAGTCTGGGGCCCTGAGGCACTCAGACTGTCCTAGTGGGAAGAGAGTAGAGGAGGATTAGTTTCAAAAAGCAGGCTGCAAAACTGATTCCAGAGAGACTATGATTTTAATCTTAGCCAGGAAGAAAGTTTTGTTTTTAAATGTTAGTAAATGTAGAGGGTCAGATTAAAACGTAAATGTCAAAAAAGGCTGTAGTTATCAGGAAATAAGAGATGCCTAGGAATTGGGAATGCCAGAATAAGGGAGGTGAGGAGAGGGGCTGGCTGACTTAATCTATGAATTTCCTGCAAATTTGACTCCTCCTAAATGAGAGTTTCCCTGGTGCTTTTAATTCCTTCCAGTTTCATTGAGCTATAACTCACCTACAACTCTGTCAGTTTAAGGTGTACAGCTAATGATTTGACATACATATATATTGCAAAATGATTACCACAATGGAGTTTAGTTAACATCTATCACTCATAGTTCCAAAGAAAGTATTATTTCCTTGTGCTTGTTGCTTTTTAATGAGGTTGATAAAAAAAGAGCTTATTCTTTAATATTCTTAGAATATTTAAGCTGAGGCTGCATAAGCAAACAAATCTCAAATAGAGGTGTAGGAGTTCATTTCAGCCAAAAGGACATCTATCCTGTGCAGTCACTCTGTGGTCATGGGAAAACCTGATAGCGTTTGACTTCTCCCCTCAAAAAAGATAAAATGAGGGACGCCTGGGTGGCTCAGTTGGTTGGACGACTGCTTTCAGCTCGGGTCATGATCCCAGAGTCCCGGGATCGAGTCCCGCATCGGGCTCCCAGCTCCACGGGGAGTCTGCTTCTCCCTCTCACCTTCTCCTCACTCATGCTCTCTCTCACTGCCTCTCTCTCAAATAAATAAAATCTTAAAAAAAAAAAAAAAGATGAATTAATTTTTACTTCGTCACTGAAAGTGGGTTAGGAAACATCTTCTGAAATGGCAAGGGGAGGGAAGGAGAGTGTAAAAGATGACCTTGAATTCTGAAAATCCATTCTTCAGAGGTCCTTGAGTGCAAGTTCTAGACCCTTCAACTTTGCCTCTTTGAAGAAGGCTGGTACAGCACTGTAAAGCACATGGTATGTCATTGGAATACCCATGAGCTAAACACAAACTCAGCAGCCTCAGAAAATAAAGCCACATTTATAACTGTGCTTGGAATATGTATTTCTAATTCATGGCAAGTGTAGTGTAGAAGTTCATCAGACAGCTGTCTATATGCATTTTAATGTTTTAGCCCAATTAGGATATTGGCTTATTAAAAGTAAGCATCTATAGATGGGAATGGATGATAATTATGAATATAAAATCTAATTTAATGTTTTAAGATGGATAGGATTTACTTATACAGGCTCATCTTCAAGTATCTATGAATCTTTTTTGGTCAGTGCCAGGATTTCAGTACAGCTGTGAGAGCAGCCTAAAACCTATTTTGGGTAAAGTGGGGAGAATTTTTACCTTCCTTCCCCAACTCAGAAAACTCTTTGGCAGACGCCTGGGGAACTTAGTAGGTTAAGCCTGTGCCTTTGGCTCAGGTCATGAACCCAGGGGCCTGGGATTGAGTCACACATCAGACTCCTTGCTCAGCAGGGATCCTGCTTCTCCCTCTGCGTGCAACTCCCCCTGCTTGTGCGCGCACGTGCTCGCTCACGTGCTCTCTCTCTCTCTTGCTCTTTCTGACAAATAAATAAAATCTTTAAAAAAAAGAGAGAGAGAGAGAGAGAAAAACCTCTTTTGGTAACTTCAATCCCTAATAATCCTGGAAAATCTGGTAGGCTGGAACTTACTCTTTTTGCAGAGCAGGAATAGAAGGAACAGCTAAAAATAAGGAACTTATACTCTGTGTTTCCTGCCATTTCTCCAGAATAGTGATGGCTTTTGAAGGAGTTACCTTTCAGAATCTGATTAAAGCAGTGGGGCCTCTCTTCAGAAAAATGTGCCAGTGAATGAAGGCTCTGGAGGAGTCTGTCAGGGCTTTATGAAAACGCTTCAGAGAACAAGAACAATTATGCCTCTGCCAGGAAGGTTAGAGAAGCCAGTGCCCCCTTTAAATTGACCCCTGAACTGTATGGATTCTCTAAGTCCTGGTTCCTCTCAGAACTCCTGTCTCTGTCTCCCAAGGGATCTTGAGGCATGCTAAATCGTAGGCACAACCACTTGAAGGGGGGCAGGTGTTAGAGAAGGCAGTTATGCCTCTATAGCTTTTTAACTTCGTATCAAGCCATCTCTTAAAAGTCAAAAGACTGTGAGATGGAGGTGGTGGTAGTGGGAGTCAGGCAAACCTGCATTGCAGCCCTAATATACATCCATCACTTTCAAGCCTTGAGGGAAAAGTGTGTGTGTGTGTGTGTGTGTGTATGAATTGTGAGGTATATAGCAGTGGAAAGAGTATGCATCTAGAAACTATGTAGATAGGCCTGGATTAAAATCCTGTCTCTGTTCTTTGCTACTATGCTAGCAGTTTCTTTATTTGAAAAGTACAGATATCCAAGCCATCTTGCTGGGTTGTTAGGACAGTAACTGATAATGTATGTAAAATGCCTGTCCATAGTATGTGTTTACTGTAAGGCAGCTGTGATTATGACGAGGGTAATGGTAAGATAGGCTCTTGCACATGAGATGCACAGTTACTCACGGTTGTAACTTCTGTGTCACAAAACTCTTTTGAAAAATTTAGTTTAATACATTTCGCAGACTTACTGCTTCCTTGTGACCATCACTCTATGCTGAAGAGTGTTACGGTACCCTGGCCCTGAATTTGGGTCTCAGGGCCAGGAATTTCTCTCTCTAATCTTCCTTTTTGTTCTGTTTTGAAAATGGCCAAGAAATATAATTTAAATTTAAGCATTTAATTGAGCAGGAATAACTGTTCAGCTGCTACTTAATAGAAAGTCACCTGTCAAAGTGACTAAAACTAAATTTAAAGGTCCAAGGATATACATTCTGGTGTCTGAAGCTTAAAGTAATTAGCTTCATCTTAAGCACACCTAAAGCTATAAAATTTGGATACAGTTGACGACTTTGTTGTTAACACATGACATTGAAAAATGAAGCAAATGCCAAATGTCAGCTTTCAGTGCCTACTCCAACGATTTTTGTTTGTGTTACACAGAAAGTATAAGCTTTTTAATTTTTTTTTTAAAAGATTTCTTTTAGAGAGAAAGAGAGCCATGTGTGTGCATGCAGGGGTGGGAGGCAGAAAGCAGAGGGAGAGAGTCTTCAGGCAGACTCCCCCTGAGCATGGAGCCTCCATAACCCATAAGATCATGATGTGTGCCTAAACCAAGAGTTAGACACTTAACCACTTGAGCCACGCAGGCACCTCTAAGCTTTTCTATTTTTTAATATTTCATGTCATCTTCCTGTAAGCTCCCTCTTTTCTGCCTGCCTTTGTCTCCCCATCAATCCACTCCCGCCACCTATAGAGCCTTTAGTAATGGTAAATTTTCTGCTTAGTACAGCAAAGTTTGAAGAATACATATAAATTATCACTGCTCTCTTAGAGTTTTTTTAATTGTATAGGCAAAAGAGGAGTCTACAGTTCAAAGTGAAGATATTTATAAATTGTCTCTTGCTTGCCTGCCTGCCGTAGCAGTACATTCCAGAGTTTTCTCCACAAGGAGGAGGCCGGGAAGAAGCTAATAATAGGTTAACTGTGTACAGGCAATGTCACTTGGAGATTTTTTTTAAATACGTAGCATTTTCTATATTGTTTTTTAAACAAGCACTTAAGCTATACAAATTACAATTTTAGATACTGCTTTAGAGCGCTGTAATGTGAGATGTACTTAAATGTTTTACATTGACATTTCTTCCTCTCCCTTCCAGGACACTTGGTGGTGTTCCCACACAGGCTCCTCCACCTCTTGAAGCAACTTCATCATCACAGATCATCTGCCCTGATGGGGTCACCTCAGCAAACTTTTACCCTGAAACTTGGATTTATATGCATCCATCTCAGGACTTCATCCAAGTGCCTGTTTCTGTAGAGGACAAAAGTTATCGAATCATCTATAATCTTTTTCATAAGACTGTGCCTGAGTTTAAATATAGAATTTTGCAAATACTGAGAGTCCAAAACCAGTTTCTTTGGGAGAAATATAAAAGGTGAGTCAGCAGTATGAGAAATTTAAGAGTTTTTCTTAATGTACTAATGACAGATGCAGAACATAATAGTAAAGGCTTTCACAAAATCTAATATGTTTGTATTTTTTCGTATATTAACTCAAATACACTCTTCATAACAGACCATGTAAGTTCAGTAACTTGCCACAGGACCTACAGCTAATAAGATGTGTGCTGGAGTTTGAACTTTGGCAGTCTAGCACCAGAGGCTTTTGCTCTTAATTACTTGACTATGCTGCCTCTCAAATCAACAAAAAACAAATGTAGTACAAAAGGAATACATGCAGGTTTGAATAATCTCAAAATTAAGAGACACTCAGGTTGGTGGAATTAGATAAAGAAGTTATCCTGATAAAGTAAGGTTGTGAACTATATTTGAAATGGAAGAGACAGCAAGTGAATAAGTGTTGGGGTGGCTGGGGATGGGGGGGCTCTTATTGTCTGCAGTGGAAAAGATCAGTTTAAACTTTTCATATGCTCTCTGATGGCATTTTGCCCTTGAAAACTACTTTAACATTTCCTCTTCATTGAAACCATAATGAGTTTATGACTACATCTTGCCTATTAAATTGATCTCTACCTTCCTTCTTCTGAATTCCCTGTCCACTCTTTTCATTAGGAAAAAGGAATATATGAACAGGAAAATGTTTGGCCGTGACAGGATAATCAATGAGAGACATTTATTTCATGGAACATCCCAGGATGTGGTAGATGGAATCTGCAAGCACAACTTTGACCCTCGAGTCTGTGGAAAGCATGCTACAATGTTTGGACAAGGCAGTTATTTTGCAAAGAAGGCAAGCTATTCTCATAACTTTTCTAAGAAGTCCTCCAAAGGAGTCCATTTCATGTTTCTGGCCAAAGTGCTAACTGGCAGATACACAATGGGCAGTCATGGCATGAGAAGACCCCCTCCTGTCAATCCTGGCAGTGTTACCAGTGACCTGTATGACTCTTGTGTGGATAATTTCTTTGAGCCTCAGATTTTTGTCATTTTTAATGATGATCAGAGTTACCCTTATTTTGTTATCCAATATGAAGAAGTCAGTAACACTGTTTCCATTTGAAAAATCTTGGTACTGCTAAATTATTTGATATGAACTCAATCCAGCATTTGTAGCAGGTTGTGGATGGGTGGGACAGAGTGGGGAACAGCATTGGACATTAATAGGGCACTTTTAAGACCCATTTTTTAAGTGCTAGAAAGCGAAAAATTTTTTAAAGAAAAACAATTTTAAAATGACCACTTATTCTTTAATTATTTACTAATTGTTGTTAGTGTACTCAGTGTGGAAAAGACTACAGATTGCATACTCTTTTTATTCACACTTGTACATATAGGCAGCAATGGTATTAGAAGCATTTTTAAAAAGAAACTGAACAGCCTAACCAATTAAATGCGACTTAAGCCTGGTAGAAGTTTGGCCAAATGAAATGGAGGCTGTGAGCAAAGTGAGGATTCTGTTACTTATAATGATAAAACGACTGGAGCTAATACTATCATACTTATTCCCTGTCCAAAGCATCACTTACATTGTAGGATAAGTTCATGAAATTCTAGTGGGTGGAAAGAAGTTTTTATTCCTATCAGCAGAACTGAAATATATCACCCAAGCAGAGAGCATTGGTGACTTTAACTGTTCTGCAGAATTTGCCTGAGGATTCAGAGGAAATAAAGAAAAAAAAAGGAACCATTTGAAAAATTTTTGTCGCCAGCAAGATTTTTCACTGACTGGTTATATGAAACATGATTCTTACGTTGTTAAAACTGCAGCCTTAGAAAACTCAGCCTCTTCCGTTGTCATCTACCCCAGTCTGAAGGAGCTGAGCAGCTAATTTGGTTAAAGTCAGTCTTAAGGATTAGTAGTATTACTTTAGAGTTCCCGACATAGGCCCCGGCTGAAGGTTTAAGAGAAAGGAAGTACATCTATAATTGAATTGATAAGGCTTAGTACCGTGCTTTGCACAAAGTAGACTCTCCAAAGTATTTGTTGGCTTAGAAATACTGTTAAAGGTGGTTATCCCACCCTTTGCCTGCTTTGCCAGATGCAGCTGGGTTCCCTGGCTGACTATTTTACACTACTTAATAGAAACACAAACTTGGAAGTTGTGCCACTGACCCAGCTGGAGCAGTGTTCAGTGTGTATGCTAATACCTCAGTTCAGAGAGGTAGCAGCTAGGTATACTTTGCCTTAAGCAAAGCCAGTACCCGGATTTACACAAGTGGAAGTGGTCGTTCCCAAAAGAATTCACTGTGGAATTCTTTCAGATACCAAGCTCTCCTAGTATGTTTGTGGCTATTTCATTTACACAAAACTTTTCAGGAACTCCTGTGTTGTTTGAAGCAAGATATATCTATCCTGATGTCTCAGTGAATCCGTCTGTTTAAGCACTTATCAGGGCTTCCACACAGTTATTTATTTTGCCCTAGTTGATCTCGTTGTTTGCTGCCATTGGCATGAAACAGCCAACTGTGGCTGTTACAGTTGTTCTTTCAGTCGATTATAACTTTGTAAACCAGTGATTCCCAGTCTTTTTCAAGTTAAGACACCTTACCATTGCTTATTTGATTTTATGAAACTTGTTCCTTTTTTTCTCCTTAAAGGAAAATAAAGCTTTATGACATATTTATTTTTTTAATAAAACTAAGCAAAAATAAAAGTTCCGGTAATTCTTTAAAACTTTTGTTGTTTTGGTTCCATTTAAGATAAGTGAATTCAGCACATAGTGGATGATCTGTCCGTAAATGCTTGTTGACTGGCTGAGTGAGTATGTGACTGAGCGACTGAATGGACCCAATCAGAGCCTGCTGCTTAAACTTTTGTGCTCCAGGAGTCAGCAGAAACTGTATTAGGTAGCAGTCACATGTAAGTTTCACAAGAGAAGACTGAATATTTTATTTTGCAGGTAAATATTTGAGGAAAAGGGACAAGTTGTCTTACCAGCAAACAGCTATAGTGAAAAATGAGCAGATTGTCCCCATCAACAGGTGCTCATGGAAACATGCAAAGGAATTCTAGAGATCTTGTCAGCACTCGAGCACCTTAGCTTTCAGCCAACTTAAAGTGATCTGATTTGTAAATGTGAGCATCTCTGACAGTACTTTCCCTCCAGTGTAATAATTTTAAAATTCCTGTATAGTATTGTATATTGTTTTAACTAAGCAAGAGCTGTGGCGTCAGTCTAAATTTTGTAATGGTTCCATGGCTTTAAAAACATGCTGAAAAGCATTCAGTAAATCTTTCTCCCTAGTGACACAACTGTAATTTACACCATTTCAGAAAGCTTGAGCTTAACTCTTTTAAACTATGGTTAAGATTGCTAGGGAGAGGCTGCAAACTCCTTGAGATATTCCATTGTCATACAGTCCTGTAGACAGGAAGGCTTTTTTTTATATGTGCAGAGTTTAAAAATATTGGATCCTTTATAATTATAAATTCTAAAACCCAACTCTGTGCTTTTTGCAACAAACCTGTTTATTTTGGTAAATGATTATTTAGTTATTGAAGAGAATCATGAGGACCTGAAATACTGTTCTTTAAAGAAGAATTTTTATTATACTAGGTCTGAAAATGACTGAAAAAGAATGTGTTCAACACCCAAACAGTGCTATACAGTCAATTTAAATCAGAGGTGTTTTTCTTTCTTCATTTAAGGAAGGTAAGATGACTACAAAATGTTCCTGGTTTTTCTTACTTGGGATCAAATAATCAAAATGTACTTAGAAAATTCTGTATGACACTTCTAAAATCAAATCCATATTGCTTATGTTGTTGCTGTTGTGTGTGTGTGTTTAAATAACTTAAGCTCTTCAATTATACAATAATTTTGGAAAAATCACCTTTTTTATGGTTAGTTTTCTCATATTTGAAACAAATTTTTTCTTTTTGTTTCGTGGATTTTTTTTTTTTTTTGAGAGACTACAAATAAGAATAATCCAACTTTGAGATCCTTTAATGCAAAAATGTTTTGTAAAGTCCTGTACTAACTGATAGTGCTGTCATCTACAAATTAAAAGCCAGATACAGGTGTGCCTGAATGGCTTAGTCAGTTAAGCACCTGCCTTTGGCTTAGGTCGCCATCCCAGGGTTCCTGGGACTGTTCCCTGCATCAGGCTCCTTGCTCAGGTTGGGGAGTCTGCTTTCCCTCTTCCCCTCCCCACTCCCATCCTCACTTGTGCTTTCTCTCAAATAAAATCCTTTTTTTTTTTTTTTTTTTAGGATTTTATTTATTTGACAGAGAGAGAAAGCCAGAGAGGGAACACAAGCAGGGGAAGTGGGAGAGGGAGAAGCAGACTCCCCACTGAGCATGGAGCCCAAAGTGGGGCTCGATCCCAGGATCCTGGGATCATGACTTGAGCCGAAGGCAGATGCTTAACTAAGTTAGCCACGCAGGTGTATTTTCTTTAGATATCTTTTCTTTAGAGAAGAGAGTGTTGGGTTTTAAAATCTGACATACCCAGTTTATTGATTTAGGAACTTACTGCAGGCAAGTTAAAGAAATGAAACAGTACTTTATACCTTTTGTTAACTTTTCTCATAAGCTATCATGATAGAAAAATTTCCAATTGAAAGGTTTTATCAGCATTATTAGTTGGTCTTATTTGATATGTTATTGTTTAATTCAGTGTAACTTCTGGGAGCCTGTCAGATGGAGCTCTTTTAAAGCTTCAATCTCGGGTGACTGGAAGTGTTTGTGCGTTAGAAGTGTTCCGTGGACACTTTGCTAAATTTTCCAAGCTAGAACAGAAGTGTCCAACCACTCTAAGAATATTGGAATTTCATGAACTTAATGTCCGTTAAGCACCTAATGATTAATAAAAGGAAAAATGATCAAAAGTTTCTATGAATTCAGTGGTCTTTTAATGAAAAACTGTGTACTTATCCCAGCCATATCTGCGTTTGATATGTAGGTTATACTTAGTTTACCGACAACATTCGGTGCTCAAATGGATTAATGGGCTACTTACAATAACTCCCATCTGCCACGAGAGCTTATAGCCAACGGGCTGGAAGCCACTGGGCTAAACTATATATTCAAGTTTTATAATTGTATATATCTCCTTAATTGTATCCAATTTTTAAAAAGCCTTAATCAAATCAGACCACTGAAGGGCTCAAACTAGTGTTCAAGAGCCTCTAACCCTTCTAATACCTAACAAGTTTCAGGTGCCGAAGGATCACTGGGCAGGCCCTCTGTTTAGATGCATCCGCTGCGCTTCTTTAGTGTTTCTCGAAGTGCTGTGAGGACTGCATGCAATATATGTGAGTGGCAAACACACACTGAACAGCTGCTTCTCAGCTCCATGATAACAAGGGACTCTTCAGTGCTCATCAGTTTATAAATCGGTTTTGAGCAGCAGTGATGGGTTTGCGGCATTAACCCACACTTTTCTGATGAAGGCCCTACTTGAAGGTCTGTATTTCTTAGTATCTTCGTTGAGAATTTAAGTCCTAATTTCTAAGCTGAGTGCAATGAAATGTCCCACTTAGGAGAAGCAACCGTAAATATAATTAGCACTGGTCTCAAGGTTCTAAGCTAAATGAACCCAGTAACTACAGCTTTAGTTCCAACCACTCATAAGTGTAACTTTTTTTTTTTTAAGATTTTTTTTGTTTGAGAGAGAACACAGGCAGGGAGAGTGGCAGGCAGAGGAAGAGGGAGAAGCAGCTCCTGGCTGAGCAGGGAGCACCATGTAGGGCTCGATCCCGGGACCCTGGGATCATGACCTGAGCTGAAGGCAGAGGCTTAACTGAGCCACCCAGGTGCCCCAATGTGGCTTATTTCTAAATGCAAGTTTCTACCCACATGACTTACATTTTTCTAAAAATATAAGTTCGTAGTCTTACTTTCGTAGTTAACGTTGTAGACCTATACAAGTCAATGCTAGACAGGAGTGGGAATGCAGATTTTGTGAATCATGGTTACTCAATTTAGTGATGAATTGCTCTCATTTATCAGAAAGCAGTGACTAAGAAGCCTAAGAAAGTTACTCAATCTTAGTGTGTGGTTTTTGGGCTAATTGAGATAAAAAAATGTAAAGCAGTTAGCCCAGTGCCTAGCTCATGGTATACAATAAAATTTTGCCAGTGTAGTAGTAATAGCCCCCTAGGAACCTGTGACTGTGTTGCATTATATAGCAGAAGAGGCTTTGCAGTTGTGATTCAATTAAGGATTTTGAGATGGGGAGATTATCTTAGCCCAATATAATCACGAGGCTTCTTATAAGAGGGAAGCAGAAGATGAGAGATGGGGAGATGCTATGCTGCTCCTTTTGAAGATGAAGAATGAGACCATAAGCCAAGAACTGCCGGCGATTTCTACAAGCCAGAAAAGCTAAGGAAACTGTCTTCCTGGGAGCTCCCAGAAGTACTGCAGCTCTGCTGACATCTTGATTTTAGGACTTCGAACCACCAGAACTGTAAGATAAGAAATTTGTTTTAAGCCACCAATTTGTGGCATTTTGTAATAACAATAAGGTAATACAAGTAGTAAATAAAATAGAAATCTTAAAGAATTGTCAAGAACCTCATAATTTAGAAAAGAGACTACAAATAAGAAAAATTCCCATGCTTGTTGGAAACTTTAAAAGGTTGTGTGAAATGCGAAGAGAGTAAACCACCAGTGGCTTTCTGAGAGTGGTATATACACATACTAAAGACAAACCTCACTTAAAATAAGGCTTCT